ACGATTAAAATCACCACTCGCCAAATCTAAACGCCTCTATTCGACTAAGCCGCTCGTAGGTTACACAAGGTCTCGGATCGATTAGCGACAGACTCGCCGTTTTACAGTTGTCACTATTAATGACCAAGATATCAAATTAATTGAGAATAATCGGGTCAGCGGAAGATCATTTCTTAATTTAACTGAAGAAAAACTCCTAAAGCATCCGTATAATCTTGTTGGTGGTACGGCATATGAAATCGCACATCTGATTGAACTTCTTAAAGGTGAAGAAGGTAAATAATACGACCTAGATTATTGTAACAAATATGTAAAATGATTACTAACTTATTTTAAACCGATTTTATGAATTATTTATGAAACATTATCCTTATTAATATGAAGCAGGTCAAATATATCAAACACAAGGCATGTAATATCAATTAATAATAAATTGTTTAATTCATTTTGTTTATTTATTTATTTATTTTTAGATCCTAGGAATTTGCATGAGATTGTAAAAAATGCTATGCTTGAAATAATTAAGGAAAAATCATTTGAAGTGATTAGTGTATCAAAACTAAGCTTGACTAAAATGAACAAAATTGAAAAAGCTATGGGTTTGGGTTCTTTTTCTGTATGTACAATGATTCTTACCAAATAAATAATTTCTAATATTAATTAATATTATCTTTTTTTCACTAAAGATAACCAGCAAAACTTTCCCAGATACTTCATACATAGAATGTGATGGATTTAAATGGGATATGGACAAGGATGAAGACAAACAAATGCAAGATGTCAAAGACTGGTTTAGAATTGTATTAAATTTAGGAGATTATTCTGTTGAAGATGTTCATAAAGACACGAAAAAAGAAGTAACTTTAGATAAAGCTCATACCATATTACGGGGTGGATTTGATATCAGTATTGGTCCAGATATAACAGGATGCGTCTATATAAAAACAAAAAAACTAATCCAAGAATTAAAATCTGATGAATGTCAAGCTAAAGGAGAATTACTTATTGCGAATGCAAACATTGAATTAGACGTATTGATCGTACTGACTGACTGTAATGACAAGTGGTCTCTTTTTTTTATAGCCAAAGAAGAAGAGCGATATTTTATAAACTGCAAAAATTGATGACCGTGGAAAAGTGTTAGGTATAATCAAGGATTTCGTTCTTGAACAGGGAATCAAATATAATAAAATGTTAGGATCAAATTTAAGAGCTGCCGAAAAAGAAGAGATAAAGATTGGCCCATTATCAAAAAAGGCGAAATACAGAGAAGTTGTTGAATTTTGTGATGAAAGAATGTTTGACATTATTCCAGATATGACCGATGATGAATTAAATCGAATGAATACTAGGTGGGGACTAAGGATGCTTGAAAAATCAGTTCCTATTAATGATAAACCTATTATACAACGTTACATATCAGCGTTTAGTGATGATTACGAGAATTATGAGACCACAATGTATTCATAAAATTTTGAATTGTTTTTCTCATACATAATTCTCATTTTGAAAATAGTATAATTTTTTTATACAATTTGATTAATAAGTGTTTTGAATTTGATACAATAAAGTGGATCAATTTCTATTCTACTGTATTTGTGTTAAGCAAATTCTTAATCAGTTAAAAAAAAAAAAAGATTTAATTTTTATTTACTAACAACGCAAAATAAGCACAGAGATTGGTCATTATTATAATTTATAAAAGTACATTAAGGCGATAACATATGAAGATTAAGATAAATCGATAGGAGTTTGAAAGAAACAATACAGGCAAATTTCAAGAAGCATTTGATGATTTTGGTAAATTATAAGAGTTTGAACTAAATAATGTAAATTTTTTGAAATTACGAGGAGAGATTCATTATCGCTTAGGTAAATTTGAAAAATCGAATCGCTTGAAGAATTTGCCAAAATAATTGAATAATATTGATGCGTTGTATAAAATAGCACATAATGATATTAGTAAATTACTTGAAACAATAGAAGAGTGTCACTTACTAGAGATTGTAATAGACTTTTATGCAAAAGCGCTTATATATATGAATAATTTATTAGTAACTAAACAGAATAATTCATGCAATATTTCTTCAGGAGATTATAACAAAGAACCAAAGGATGTACGCATATTAAGAGTTGAGGAAAAGCCTGAAGAAGCACTTGTGGGTTTTATTAAATCAATAGAAATTGAACTGAATGATATATCTACATTAAATGATCGCGGAGAAGCTTATCATGATAAAGCTTGCAAAATTTTTGATTTCTTAAAATTTCTCTGATAAGAATATCATACCAGAGTAACAAGAAATCATTAAAAATCGAGTGATTTCTTAGCGATTTCTTTTTTTTTCGATAATCAGTATATTTCACAAAATTTTGTAAACCGCAATAGTATATTTCTAGCAATAAAGCTGATAATAAGATTGCGTTAGGGAACGGTGTAACATACTATGCAATGGGCGGTATGAAGAAGCACTTAAGGACTTAAACGAATCATTGAATGAAAATTTTGTAGCAAATAAATTACGAAGGTGTTGATAACATAGATGAATCGCGTAGAATAGAGAAATACAATCAGCAAAGGCATTGATCTTGCGGATTCGAGGAGTGACCTATTATCAAAACTGTATATGTGAAAAAGCACTCAAGGATTTAAAAAAGATCATTGAAAATTGAACCAAATAATACGCTTGCATTAGGAAAATGTGAAGAAGTATATTTTAAGATGAAAAATATGAATATGCACTTACTGACTTAAACAATTCATTAAAAATTAAATCAGACGATGCGTCTTCGTGGATTAATTTATCGTTTAATGGATAGACATTTGAAGATTTATCGCTGTTTTCAAAATTATGTACGATTTAGCACCTAATTGTGGATATCTATTGCATCGATGGGCATACCCTACATTTCAAAGTCCTGAAGTTTACGATGAACAATAGTAAATATTAGCTTATAATTGACAATCATTGATACCGATACGATATTTTTTCACTGTTAAGTTTTTTGTTATTATAGAAAATAATTTATCTTATATAGTAACATTAATAAATCCTAGTCACGCAAACTTTTTTCAGGACCACATATTAAAACTTAAATTTGAAATTAAAAATTAATTCCCAACAATTATCAATCAAAATTGTTTAAATATTTAGATTTATGATTTTACCCTGATTTTTTTTTAACTTTTAATTATAACAATTGGAAGATAAAAAAAAATAAAATAACAATTACAAAAAATTACTAAAATTTACAAAAAGATAAAATTTTTATATAGTCAAAATTTTGAATATAGAAATAATGTCTTAAGATTTTGTATAGTGAAACAAAAAATAATGACTTAATGAAGCCATATAACTAAATTCTAATTATAAAATGTTGAGTATTCCGTTTATTATTTCTAATTAATAAACATTGGAAGATAAATGATAATGATTACAAATAACTGAATAAAGAATTAACAAAAGCTAAAATTTTTATAATCAAATTTATAAATAGATGCCCAAAGTTTATAATAATAGATTAAGGAAGCATTTTATTATAACTGATAATAGTATGTAATTGTTTGCGGCTTCTCCGATAAGCTATGTCATATATTTAATTAAATTAATAATATCTATATTGCCATATCGACCCATGACTTAGAATTACTTGTTGTTAAAATTTATTGTAAAAGTTTATAAAAACGGTCTCAGTTCATAATTAAGTTTATAGAATATTGTAATATCTACATATTTTAATTATTAATTGAAAGTAAGTTTAAAAGAACGTTTCCCTGAAAATTTTCAAATTCACACCTGCAATTATTCAAATAATTATTCAATACAAACCAACCTTCCACTGCCCAAAAATATCTGAACGTTTCAACAAATAGTGACAGTACTTTCTTTATAGCTTAGCATGGCTGTTTTTTGATATTTATCTTATATTAAGGCTAAAAAAAACGAAAACCATTTTTATTAGGTGCTTCGTTTGTTATTATTCATGTCATTTAATGGTTTATCGAAAAAACGACCCCTAAAAATCAAACCGATGGATATGCATTTATTAACAAACCGCAATAATTGGCTGGAGTCGAGGGAAGCGAGATGGAAGCATTTCAAGTCTTACACTACAAATTTTCGAAAATGTCCGGTTCCCGGTTCAACTATCCAGAAACTGAACCTAAATCAGATTCAATATCTGGATACAAAATCTTAGTTCAAAATAAAGTAACGGACTTTTAAAGCTTATATTTATTTCATTAAATTACGATATTGTATGTCAAAAAAAAAATTTTTACATAATTTTAAAATACTATCATAAAATATGCTATAAAATACGTAATTATACCATGAGCAAAATTTGCATATTGCTTTGAAAAATTTTTTATTGTGGTTAATCGTATTGGAAGTTTTTTTTTCAATCTGATAATTTTAAAATGCAAAAAAGAACTTATACGCCTGAGCAAATCGTAATAAAAAAAAAGATGTTAGAAGTCGACAAAAAGTTTGATGTCTCATGAACAGCAATTAGCGTATAAAAAACAAGTAAGAAAAGAGACAGGCTCATTATAAACGTCAATTAAAGAAGAACACAGCATATAAATGTAGAAAATAGCGTTAAGTGCATATATGATATGTACAATATTATTAATAACTATATAAAATTATATATATATCATTATAAAATTTTATTTTAGAATCAACCCGTCTATCAAAATTACTGATGACAATCGTTGTCTTCTAAAAAATTTCATAATGCTGGAACTTAAAATATCTAGTTTCCTATTTTGTAAGAATGTTTTCTTTCAGTTATTCTAAATAATCAGACTGGCACTTGCAATAGATGTAGTAGTTACAATTTGATTCCAGAGGTTTTTACCAAAGAATGCTAAAGATCAAGGTATGTAATAAAATATACAGTGTATGGTATTAATATAATTTTTAAAAGTACCAACCGGGTTACCTCAGCTTAGCCGAGTTGAGGAAACATTAATCGCACGGATCTTCTTATGTTAACTGTCATTAATCTTCAAGGCGGACAACTCGGATATAGAGATGTGATTAATTTCCCGCTAGATGTTAAAGAATTTATTACAAAGTTACTTCGGGATCCAGCCACAATTGATGCTTTAGTTGTTTGACAACTGGACAAGATTATACTATATTTTTCATGACTTTAAAGTCAAACGTATAAACATCTTAGTATGCCTTGCTTGAGCAATTACAATTCATAAGTAGCAAGGCTTAACATTGCCAAAAACCATAATAAATCTTGAAAATAAGGGATTTACAACAGGTCTTACATTTGCAGGGTATCAAGAGTTTGTGCTTTTAACTGATCTTTTCGATACTGCCTTTCTTTTGACAGATTACAAAATTAAAACATAATATACGTTTATAAAAATGACTAATAGAAGAACAAAGATTGCATTCCTTATAAATTTATTAATGTAATTCTAAAAGTTAAAGGCAATTATAAACTTTAAATTCAGTTTTAATAATTAGAGCCTAAGAATTAGTACTCCAGCCCACAAAACGCCGCCGTTTTTCTAGTAGACAATCCAGAATCTCAAAAATTTCCTTTGATCATCATGAATATGAGTCACATCTTTTTGTCAAGCGTTATAATTAGATTTATTCATAAAAAAGTAACTCTGTTAGATAAAACCCGAACAATTAGATGATAAGTCATTTACATAAATTAGCTGGTTAGTTTTTGTTATCTTTATCTAATTCGTCTTAGATTTTTATTTGGCAAAATCAGAATAAATTTGCTTTTGTTAATAACAAAATTTCTAAATATGTCTAACAACTAGCATAATAAAGTACAATCTACTGTCATAAAGTATTACTTCAGATTTAATTAAATTTAATTTAAAATTTTTCAAATAACAGATTACATTTTTAACAAACCAAATTACTTTTCTTACAGTTAATAATATTTAAAATACTTTATTTAAATATTTATTTAGTTATACAAAAATGATCTGTAACTAATGTTATAAAATTGAAAACTTTTAATTAAGTTACGAAAATCAGGTACAAAATAATTATGTTCGGAATAATTAAATTCAATATTATTTAGGATCCTTAGCATCATCAATAACGGCCCATCCAATCACAGGAGACACGACAGATTCGCCACCAAAATTTTCAAGAATTTCCTGATTAGTTCCAATAAATCCTGCTACAAATTTCAATGGAGGAGTAACATCAGTGGTAAATGGAACTCCTACTATGCCATCTGGAAAATCATCACCATCTATAAAATTTGAATGTAAAGCAGTCCCTGCACGATCATAAGGAAAGAAGGCTGCAATCCATCCTGTAATATTAGTTTCTCCACCAGAACCATACATTTGCATGCTAATAACCCTACCCCAAAAGTCTTCATCAACTTCACCACGATAAGTATCTACTAATTTCGCAATTACAGGCTCAAGGCGGTCTAGCCAAAAATCTAATTCTAAATTTAAGTTTCTTAATTTAATGACTTTTTCTTGAAGTTTCGTCCAATCTTCGAGTGTACCTTGAAGTGTCACTTTCGGAATTCCACAACAGCAAACAATTTTATAATTAAAGTAAGCTTTAACCATATCTAATAACACGATACGACTTGCAGTTAAGGAACTTGGAGTTGTGGTTGAAAAATCACATTCCAATAATTGAGTAAGGTCAATTTTTTCCACGCGTTTATCAGTTTCTGTAACAAGTCTGTTTATGGCTTCTGGCCAATTACCTTCAAGAATATTCTCATGTAAATTTACGTCCATGATATCACCAACAAAGACAACAACTTCTTCTTTTCCTTCATGTTGAACAAACCTATTACGAAATTTCTCAGCATTATAATTAATGTGATGACTAACACCTTGAGAAATTGTAAGCCAAATATCATCAGGGCTCAAACGTAAATGTTGATGATGATTATAAGCATGAAATATTGCAGCAACGAAACCATTAAAACAGAAAGGGCGTTCAAGAACCGAATGTTTAGAACTTGCAGAATTATCATAGTAAACGGAGACTGCATGTACTTTTTGTTTGGGGTAGATATTAGAAATTCTGTCTTTGACTGAAATATGAGGCTTTATCTCATTTTCAAGTTTTATTTTTTGAGTTAAAATTTGTGTGCTATGTGTATTGGTTGCTGTCTGCATCGTCGATGAACTGAATGAGAAATTTAAAAATTTTTTTAAAATAATGTTATAAGAATTCATATTTATTATTAAAAAAAGAAAAGAATTTATATTTATACATAATTCATATCGTTATGTTCATGTGAACTTAGAGTTGTTAGGCGAAACCATTTTTGCGTGATGACGAAAGACGAAACCTAAAGCCGGCGGAAGACGAAAGACGAAACCCCTGGCGTAATGACGAAACCTCCGCGAAAGACGAAACCTCCTGCGAAAGGCGAAACCTCCTGCGAAAGGCGAAACCTCCTGCGAAAGGCGAAACCCCCTGCGAAAGGCGAAACCTAAAAACAATAATGTGCGTAAGAAGAATAGCCAAATTAAGGCAAAAGCAAGTGCTTAAATGTTGCACACAAAACTTTGTGTATTCGTTAGATAGTGCTTATGTGAGTGTTGTTAAATAAAACCAGGTTTTGGGCTTTTGATTTGTTATTTACTTCTAAAAATAAAGCTTTGTAAGCGTAGTTTCTCAGTGATGTGCCACTAACGTTAAATTATAAAATTGTGAACAAAATATCCATTCGAAGTAAATAACTAATGCTAAAAAAATCATTAAACATGGCTGAGCCAATAAATAATAAGTTTTACAGCCCGAAGTTTGATTGTTTTTGGCAATCCCCATATAAAAGATATAAGAGCATGAGTGTTGTAAACATTAGGCTTTCAAATTTATTAACTTAGCCTCTAGAAATTTTTAGCAATATATGAATGAAAACCTGTAAATCGATTCATGATTATTCACTATATCAGACTTGACCCCTAGAAAAGCTGATCCAAAACTAATTATCATTATGTGATCGAATACGTATCAACTAAGAATTTCTAGTTACTTCGATATAACAGAGTAATATGTATTATCAAAGTAACTAGAATTATTAGCTGATACATATTTGATCACAAATGATAATTATTTTTAGATCAGATTTTCCAATGATCGTGAATTGATTCACCGACTATCACTACCACCAAAAAATTCAGTGTATATGAATATAACTAGCGCCAAAAAATTAAATAGCAAATATTATGTTTTTAAATTTATTATTTATTATTTGTTTATACTTAGCCTTATTTATTTTAACTCGATTCTAAAAAATCCAAAGCGTTAATATTTAAATAAATAATCTTATGCCATACCAACTTCTTTTATCTGTTTTTTTATATTACCAACTAGCCTTTGCAATCTGAATTTATATTTACTATTATAACACATTTGCATTAATTTATTCTATAAAAACTATTTCTTAATCAGTTAAATTAAAATTAGCAAGACAAATTTACAAATAAGATCATTCATATACAATTTATTTTATTTGCTAGTAAGTGTAAAAATTATTTATTAATCTGTAAAATTAAAATTAGTATAAAATATTTATAAATCAAGATTATTTACAAAGTTGACAAAGTATTGAATTGATTTTTTGCATATATGATATTCTGATATCAATAGTCTTTGAACAAAAAAATTAATTTATATTTGAATTTTAGTATAAGATTGAGTTAGAAGAGGCTAAAAAATACCACCTCTAAATATATAAAAGTACTTTAGAAGAGATATTATTATTAGGTAAACATCTTTTTTGGTATTAATTAAAGTTGTTTATTAGATTTTTCTGGTTCTAATAGTGGTAAAATTATTAAAATTAGACTGGTAGTTCTTTTTTAAAAGTGAATTGAAGATTATAAAATTTAGATATAAATATTTTAAGAATTACTAGTTTGATTTTAATAAAAGATCTAATAAACAACTTTAATTAATACTAACAAAGAGATTTATTTAATAATTATATCTTTTCTAGAGCATTTTTTTGTATTTAGAGGGTAGCAATAGTAATTTTTTATAAATATATTTACTATTTAAAATTATTAAAATTTATTTACTATATTGATTTAATTTTTTTAGAAAATGAGCTCTAGTGATGAAAATAGTAGTACTTCTATTTCTACTAATAAGGACAAACAAATATTTAAAAATATTGGTGGTCGTCCAGAAGGACCAGTTTGGAGTTATTTTACTAAAGGCAAAAAAGTTGGAAAAGGAAAATATGAAGCAACTTGTGATTTATGTGGAGCAATTTGGAATCGTGGTGAACCAATTGAATTAGAAAATC